AGGGCTCTGTAGCTGGCCAAGGTCAAGGTTGATCACAGAGCGTGGCTGACACTCGGTGTGGGAGGTCAGGTGGCATTTGCACACACTCCTGTGTGGAAATTCAGTGGAAAGCAATGCAAAGAAGAAAAAATATACAGGCAGCTGATGATGACCTTGGGCAAGCACTAAGTTTCTCCCACTACATAAGAATCTGGGGCATTCAAGAAAACGTCTGCAGATTCTGGTGGGCACTCAGTAAATAGCAGCAGTTATTTTTGCAATCTGGTGTGCTATTCAAGGTGGCAATAGCCTGTCCTCCAGGAATTTGGAAATCCCCATCCCCATCAGCTGAACTGCATAAAGTAATTGAAATTGGGTGTGACCCACAATTCTGTCAGCTTCTTGCTGTCAGTGCTTTGATCATTCTTTTTGGGTTGGAGACAGTGATGTATTACTGCTTCATTTCTTTGACTTCTAGGTTTGCAAGGTGTTTTAATAATTAAAGGAAGTGGCAAGGGAGGGCCTGAAAGGAAAACATGTTCCCAGGAATGGCTGTGGCACCATGCCAATCTGATGGGTAAAAGTTGGCATCTGGTTTTAATTCCCTTTCCTTGTATGTAGGGAGGGAGTATGTCTTTATTGGCCCACTTGTATTTTCTCCATGTTCCCCGCCAGAACTTTACCTCTTTGAAGCAAGGATAGTGGTCTGTTTATATCGAGCACTGTGTTCACATATTATTGGTACTTGGTGCGTGTTTGTTGAAAATCAAATCGAATAGAAACCTTCCTAGTTGCTTTGAAGCAACCATGATCTGGAATCTGCATTTTAGCAAGCATTCGGGTGGTTCTGATACAGGTGGACCCAAACGTTGAGAAACTAAAATGAAGATTTGCACGATCAGGAATAACATAGGATCGGGATAACTTCCCAGAACATGATCAGATCACAGATTGCCCTGCAATTTAAAGATGAGAAGAGCAGTCACCCAGCGGGTAAGGCCTGGAATTGAGACGCCTCCCGAATCCCCTGTCCAGGGAGCTTTCTGTGTCCTGTTTTGCCCAAGCACCAGCCAGGCTGCAGTGAGCTCACCTGTGGTCTTGCTCACCTGTCAGGCTCGTCCACGGGCAGCCCTTCCATCTCAAACCTGCAGGCACAGCCATAGTCTTCCAAGTCTCGGGGGCAGAGTCCAGCCACACACCTCATACCGCTGACGAACTGGAGCAGCGCGGGGAAGTTGGTGAAGACAGCCTGCAGCCAGGTGAAGTGGGGGCCCAGGCAGTCTGTGGGCAGGAGAGCAGGGCGGGCGCTGGGGCTGGCNACAATCACACTCATCCAGGTACAAATTGTCTATGGCTGCTTTCCTGCTACCATGGCAGAGTTGAGTCATTACAACAGAGAGCCTGTGTCTAAAATATTTACTCTCTGGCTCTTCACAGAAAGCTTGCCGACTGCTGCTTTATGCAAATAAAGACATTGACGCTTAGAGAGGTTAAAGTACGTTCCCAAAGTCACACAGCTGAAAAATGGGAGAGCCAGGACTCCACCCCCAACCTTCCTGACCCCAAAACACAATTGTTTCGCGACATGAAGGCGACAACACTTACAAGCCCGATGGCTCTTCCTCACAAAGTGTCTCACCTGCACCTATGTGGTTGGTTTCTGAGCCTGCATTCAGGCTGCCGCCTTCTCTGAAGGGCACCTGTGTGCACTGCCTAGGTCGTGGGCGTGAGTGCGCGTGTGTTGGGGGTGAAGGTGTGAGTGTATCCACTCTCCTCCCATCAGCCTCCAGACTCCTTGAAGACCCTCATTTCCTTTGCGTGTTTCGCAGGGTCGTGCCACAAGATGCTTCAGGCTGAGGACATTGGAAAATGTACTGATTTGGGATCATAAATGTGATTGTCTGATGGGGCCATCGCATCTGCATCATATCCTCAATTTAGAATGGAAGTGGTGGCTGCCAAACGTGCTGGGAGTCATTGTTGCTTGGTTAGGGCATATGGCGGAGCTTTGGTTTGGTGTAGGTGCCATTTCCTCTTTTCTCTAGACCTGGACCCCAAGGCATGGACTGTCTTGGGGCTGCTGGGAGTGAGGTGCCCTGGGGGTGAGCCACACCATGAGCCCCTGCTTCTATCCTCATAGCAGCAGCAGCAGCAGCAGCAGCAGAGAAATAAACAAACTTCTAGGGTCATTCAGTGATGAGTTGCCAGGTTTAGCAAATAAAAATACAGGATGCCCAGTTAGATTTGGATTTCGGAGGAACAACAAGTACTTTTAAAGTAACATATAAGTATGTCCCAGAATTGGCACGGGACATACTTATACTCAAAAGCTATTTGTTGTTCATCTGAAGTTCAGCTTCAGATGGTTCAGTTCTCCTGAGTTGGGAGTAGGGGTGTGGGAGAAAGCTGAGCAAGTAGAGAAGAGATTCAGGGTTGGGAGGAACGAAGTGTGGCTCTGGAAAGTCCTCGAGGCCATTGCATTGCAGGCCCAGGCAGGGGTGGGTGTTTACGGGGAGCTGATTCTACCAAGTAGGCGATGGTACAATTAACATGTGGGCCTTTGGGTCACACACCAGTCCCCCCCACCCCGTGCTCACCTTCTCCTGAGAGGGCCACCAGGCTGCTGTCTGTGGGCTCCACAGGATACCCTGGAAAAAGAGAGTCCCCAACAGCAATGACTGATGAACACAGTGTCAATACCAGGTGCCAGGGGTCTCAAACGAGAACAGGTTGGGGACTGCGGGTCCAAGGGAGGAGGGGGCTGTACGAGGTGCTACCAGGAAAGAGCTGTTCCTCCTGCCTTAGGGTTCCCCTGCCTCTCATCCACCTCCCACAATGCAGGGGTGCCCAGCAAGGCCCCAGCTCAAGAGGGACTCCAGCTAGCTCTGGGTCCTGGTGAAGGTGACACAGCCTGTGACAATGAAAGGGCTGCAAACCCCAAAGGTTTGTAGCTGTGGAGTATGGTATTTTGACTTGAGAAGACCTCTGTTCAAAAGGAGAGGCAGGAAGGCAGAGAAAAAAAGAACGTGGGACTCAGAAGATAGATACAATAAGCATACACCACCCCATACACACACACACACACGTGTCCATGTGACCCCCCCCCACATACCCACATCCACACACAAGCACACACCCAGAAATCCACACACACACACCCCCTCATCAGCTTGCTCTTTGCCAAGCACTGCAGGACTCATTCTGAGAAACAGACCCCAGTCCCAGGAAAGGAGGGGTGCTCTGCAAGGCGTACCTCTGAACTTCCCACCCCAGGTACCCCATGGCGTTGGGACTGAGAGATCGCGGGAACTTTGGTGAACGAGGAATGACAGGCGTGAACGGTATGTGTGTCCACTGGCTCCGATCAGGAGCCTGGCCCCTGAGCTCTGAGTAAGAGCAGCTTCCGCGAGGAGGCTTTACCTCTGGGCAGAAGGGTCGTGGGCTCCTTCCTGCTGGTTGTCTCTGAAAGAGAGAAGAAAAGGAAAGTAGACTTCAGGGGTGTTACAAGGTGCTGGACTTGGCGCCTGAAGATGCACAGCGCCCACACCAGGGTCCCACACCAGCCCCTGCCCCTGGTCGTCAGAGACGCCGGGCCTGGTCCTTCCTACCTGGAGGCTGAGACAGACAGAAGGAGGCGTCCAGGAGGTTCAGGGAGGAGTTGATACTGGACTGAGCCAAGCACTCTATGGCAGCCTTGTCGCAGGTACACAGCAGGCGCTCGCAAGGGTCCCTGGGCTCTGCACGGAGCAAGGGCACAGCCGGTTGGAAGATGTCACGGGGAACCCTGAGAGGTAACACAGACTCCCAAACTGAACTCCCCGTCGGCCCCTCCCAAGTCCTGCGCCTCTTGCTGACGTTTCACCTCCTGTGTGAGCTCCATGTCCTGTGTCACCCCGATGCATGTCCTGTGTCAGCTCCATCTCTTCAGCTGCGTGGGTCCATTCGGGGAGCTGAATCATTCCTTTTCTTTCACAATCACAGCCAACCCTTCAGGGCGTCTTATTGCCTCTCCTTCCAACCTATTTATAGTCTGACCACGTGTTCCCTCGCCGTTTCACTGCCGTGGGAGAAGCCCCATCAACTCTTGCCTGGGCCCCGAGAGTGGCCTCCTAACTGGCCTCCCTGCCTCCCCCCGTGCTGTCCAGTCTAGGAGGGGCCAGAACAGTCCTTTGAAAACCCAGGCCCCACCGTCTCACCACGTCTTTTCTTGTGTTCAGAACCCCCAACGACTTCCCAACTCAAAGCAAAAGCCACTGCCTCTGTTCCTTCTCAGATCTCATCTCCTTTCCCCCCTCCTCACCCCCTGTTTGACTCACGGACCATCTGTTCCTCAAACACCCCAGGCCCCTCGAGCCTTGGGGTCTACCACGTGCTGCTGCCTCCATCTGCACTGCTCTTCTCTGGGACATGTCTCGTTTCCATCTTTGCTCACTGTTCACCTTGGAGAGACTTTTCTTCACCTCCCTATTCAACCAGGCACCCGCTCCAGCCTCCCTATGACTTTTCCCGGATTTGCTGTCTGACACAGCTCTTGCCACTACCTCACATACTATATCATGTTTTTGGAATTTCTCAGTGTCAGACAACCATGAGAAAATCCCGGAAGGTCAGGATATCCCCGGCATCTTGATGCGTATCTTGCACTTGGTGTAGGTGCTCAGTATGTATCTGTTGAATGAATGAATGAATGAATGAGTGTTCACTGTGTACCTCACCGAGTGATTTACGCCCATGCCGCACCTCACGCTTATCCTGATGCTCCAAACTCCAGCCAATCCACGTCACCTGGACTGTGGAGTCATTTTCACCTGGGTTCAAACCCCGGCTCTGCCACCTAGCAGCTATGTGTCCTTGGGCAAGTTATTCAACTCCTCTGAGCTTCCTTCTCCTTGTCTGAAACCTGGGAGCAATGATCCTCATCGAACAGGGTTGTTTGGAAGCTCAGAATTGCTTTGTAAAAAAGCTTATGGCACGTAATAGGCACTTGAGAATGGCTCCAGTATGGTGTCCCCAAAGCGCCATGTTTTTTCCCTCTATGCCTTTGCCTATTCTGTTTCTTCGGCCAGGGTTGCCCAGAGACATGGAATAAAATTGCTGCAGTCACACAGAGAGTCAGGTGGGGCAGCTGAGATTGGAACCCACGTGTGTCCAATTCTTA